GATTCGACTCGACTGGGGCGGGCGATACCATGCAAACCAAAGCCACACATACACAAGCGTACCTGCGCTAACACATGCATCTACATTTCTATTATAATTTAATGATGTTATGCAAAGAGAGAGAGAGAGAGACAGAGAAAGACAAATTATCGATCCCGTTTCTATAAGTTTATAAATTATTAAGTTGAATCCTCAGTTCGACTAATTGCCGTGTTTACCGCGAGAAGGGTACGACCATTGGATACAATCCGGTGGAAAGCACAATAATAATAATAATTTAGGAGGAAGAGGAATAATTGATATTAAAAATCTACCATTACAAACAGATTACTAATCTATCTATGATCATATTTTAGAGCAACAAGTGCTGATTGTACCTTAAATAACTCAATCTGCGCAAATCGAAAATTGAAATGTGGAAATCAAAAGCGCCTCATGGAAAATACCCGAACCAACAATAGCAGGAACATATAGATTAAGAAGCTTCTAAAATGTGGTTAAATAAAGGAAATATATTCTCAAATTCATTAGGGATTCATGATAGCGATTCAAAACAAAACTAGCAAAAACAAAATACTATGAAAAATATGGTATTAAAATCCTGCAATTTCATAGAACACATTTCGTGAAACAACTGACCATGTCACTGGGGGTTGCTCATTTTTAGACAGCCGACATACATCGACAGGCATATAATAATGTTGCTAAACAGATGCATTCGCTACTATTAATCAAAAAGTTAATAGATACACAGCCGTAATATAGATACAAACCACAAAATGTATTAGAAAACCGCATAGCAAAGCTTTATTATTATAACTTTAACTTTACACTTAAAAAAAAACTAGTAAAATTTATTTTTTCAAGTTCTTTTTTCTCGTAACATCTATGAATACCTATGTAGAATGCCGTAAAAAAAATATGGGCGAATTACTAAAAGAAAACGAATTTTTTCACTCATTTTTCTATTACTTCTAGTAGGTACTAAAAATGAATAAAAAATTCGTCTAATTCCCTACAACATTGTTTTTGAGTTAGGTTGAAAAAACAAAAAAGGGACAATTTTGATTATATCAAGAATTCACCCCCTTAATTTGGAAGCACTTTGTGATTTTTCATTTTTAGGTGTCAAACTAACATATTGAAACAAAAAACTCCTTTAAAGCAACCGTTTCTTTCTGCTACTTAATTTTGAGCATATTCAAAGCCTAATAAAAGGACAATAGCAACAATGTCTATAGATTTGTTAGCTCTGCTCATTTCAACAAGTTTACACCCAACTAGCGCTGCCTTGCGATCTCAAATAAAAATATTCTTCAAATAGGCAAGAGAGATTCTAATCAGTCGCCGAAAATGTTGTTCTATTTCGAATCTAACATAAAGTAAATTGCAGATCGAGACATTGCTGCAAGTGACACGTCACAAAACCCCTTCAGATAATAATGCCCCGTTGTGTCTGGATATAGTGAGAGAGTGAATTATGAGTCCATTAGTAAATTACGTGTATTTCTGTAAAGCGGGTCATCTCGCCCGGGATTACCGGCTGAGACAGTTAATTACCTGAGGTGATAGATAGTTTAACGTGTTTAGAAATTAGTTGTCAGGAAGTTGTCAGCGTTCCGAATAACTCTCATACATACAGCGCATCACGTGAACCGAATATTACTTGCCGAATATTGACATTTTCAAGGTACCTACCACCCAGTCCAAATTTGATTTTGCTGTTTTACATTTACATAATTTATTTAATAACATCAAACAACTGGCATTGTTTGAAATCGGCTGTATTAGCATTATTTAAAATATTTAATTTAATCAGAACTGTGTTTAATTTAGGACTCACGACCAGAATTCTACTGATTAAAAAAATTAGATACATAGTTTCGAATTTTTGGGATTACAGTTGAAAATACAGGAGTTCAAGGCTAATAGCCTATAGCGGTCAACCTGTTGTTTCTGTTGACATATAAATTCAAATTTACAATGTTATTAGCCTTAACTGTTTATTTCACAGAAACTTAAGATGGTCCCGTCCTCTGATCCCTTGGAAGGAAAATAAAATTATGTTAACAGCGACAAGCATAGGTATAATGTGAAACATTCATTCATTTAATACCAATACAACATTCAGTCATACAGCATTCACATAACATAACATTCAACATAATCATACAATAAAATAGGGCTAACAAGATTGAATCATATTCCGATGTTACGCATTTATCAAGATGTTGTTGATGGAATTGGTCATGAAAAATTGACGGAGGAATTCAGTTTACGAAATACGAATTAAACGAGCAACAAAACTTTCGCAAAAAATTATATTTAAATTTGTAGACGCATTTTTTAGACACTAAATTGTCCACTTTTATACAATGAATTGTTTCCCTCTTTTCCTACCATCAAAATTCAACACATGGCCTCAGATTAAAAGCTAAAATAGAGAGAGAGAGATAACTAGGTAAGTTAAAATGTATCTCCAAGAATTATGGTTTGGAATATCCCATTTTCAAAGATATAATACAATTATCTGCTGAAATAGTTTACATACAAGTAAATAAAGAAACTGAGCGTTATTATATGATCTATACCTCCTCATATGCGACCAGTGCGCTTTTTTAATGCCATTAGTGATAAATATATTCGTATTAAGTAATAGTTTGGAAATTTTTATTTTCTCTGAAAAATAAACAAATCGCAAATCGTAAATAAAAACTTAAACTGTACCAATATAATTTCGTTAAAACCTACAATTCCGTGCATTTTAAAAAATAAGTGGTCGTTTGTTCAATTCGTTAGAAAGGAAAAGTTATTGGCACAAAGTAAACTTTGCTTTCTTACAAACAGATAAATATTTGTTACCTGCAACGAATGATATTTATTACGGAGCCCGGGCGTTCTCGTTTTTCGAAAAAGAATAAAACAAACAAACTTATTCCTCCCATTTGAAAGAAACTCCGTTATTTTACTTTATTGTGGGTTCCGACTATGTTGTAAATTTCATTCTGAACAAAAGGTTAAATCGTTCTCAATCCTTTTCTACAATATTTTAAAATAACTTGGCGCCTTCTCAAACTGCAAACCTGTTGCATATTAACCATCCTTTGGATCAACTTTTACAAGACAAAACAATTCCTGTTTGTGTACTGACATCCTTATTGAGACGTTCTTAAGTGACTAAGTGAACGAATCCCGACAAAGCGTAACGTTTAAAGTACATTTTTTTTCAATTATTTTCTTTATTGTTCCAAGTGAAAAATTGTACTTTGCATCAAGAATACAAACTTTTTAAGAACTTCTTTTATGAAATCGATGCGTTTTATTACAGTAAGTACCTAATTAAATATTAATCGTGTTTCGTAACAAAACTTAGAGCTTTGCCATCTGCATCACGATCTGTAATTGAACTTTACATAAAAAATGAAGAAAAATTTCGATCAGCTGCATGGGACAATTTGTATTTTCAGAATTTCTATACCAAGTCTTATGCAGGTAGGTAAAGGTAAATTATTTTAAGAAGAGAATCGTTCCAATAAATTTTAAGTTCCTTCAAATAAACAAGTGTAAACTACGGCGTGGAAAATTAACGTTTCATATAAAACACTTTATTTAGCAATAAATACCAGAAGGTGGTAATGTAATATCGATAACTTAATATCAATCAGTATATTCTGATATTAAAAATTTGGTGAAAGAGCCTGACATCGAAATTGTATTTTTTACTTCAGATATTGTAATGTAATTCCCTATCTCTTAATTAATTGATTAGCCGAACAATAGAACCACANGGGTCGTATACGCGGCTCCACTCAAAACAAATACGATTTTTTTTTGATACGGTTGCAGAAAAAAGATTTTTTATTGAAGCGAACCGAAATCAAGAAATCCGTACCCTAGGGAATTCGATTTTTCAAGAAAAAGGGGAACTTAGTTAGGCTTTTAAGAAGTGAAGAGACAGGCTCCTAACAAAAACATTGAGATGCATATCAGTGTACGTAAGAATGTACAAGCAGCAGAACTTACATGCTTGTTGAGTCGACATATGTATATCTATATAATAATTTATCCTTAACTTAATTTTATAAGTCAACAAAGATTATATGACCAAATACGAGTGATACATCCAAACAACAGGATACCATTGTCTGAAAGAGAAACCATCAAACAAGAATTTAGAAGCTTTATTCAACATAAGTACGATAATAATATCGTAGAAAGTTCTATTCCGGCAGAGGATAACCCAGCACTTACACAACAACCCATAAGCAACACACAAAATTTGAAAGACAGAGTACACCTGAAGAAAATAATGAAGCTTATATACATAAGTTTACAGAAATCAGTAATCCTTGATACATGCGGAATAGTGCGCAGATTTCTTAACAATACTGACATATCCCCCTTTTCAGAAAACACAACAGGTTAAATAAGAAGCGGAATTTTTAATAATCACCGATCATATTTCAGGACAAGTACTGTTAGCTCTATAAAATTTAAGAACAGAAAATTGGTTTCGATATCGTATCTCAAAAGATATGAGTGAGATTCTTTAGCATTAGCCCGTCTTCACTTGATCAAAGTTAACCAGTGAAAATTGAGAAGACCGGTAAAATAATTAATTAATTAATAACATAATAATATGAAAAATAAATGTTTCCATAACAAACAATTAACGACTTCTTCATGTCGACCATGAAACGTCACAGATAAAGGCTTTACACCATCTTCCCTAAACTATCTCCTACCTCGACTCCATCAAATTTCATTCCGAAAATAATTTTTTTTTTCTTGCCTCTTGTTCGTAAATTACGTTTCGCTTCACGGTATAACATTTTCCCGCAAGGCGGCGCTTTTGTACCTAATTTCGGCCTCAAGAATAGGCTGAGTATATATTTAATTTTAAAAATTAATTTTGTTCATTATTATCAAAAGGTATACTTTCACTATGTTTTTGATGCGGCACTTAAAAACTCGAAGAAAGTTGAAAGAACAATTCTGACCTTAGTGTTGAGAATTGAATGAACTGCTTCCTCGACTTTTGCAAAGTTTCCCTTGCCAAGTCTTTTCCCAGTAAGCTGATAATTCCCAATGGACACAAGCTTATGATTTGCACCTTGTAGCGTCATTGTGCCTATAACTCGTGTATACCAGTTGTGCGTTTTTTAAAGTCCCACTAGCCACAAAAAAGTCGCTTCAACTTAAAGCACAATTTTTCACTGAAAAATGGAAGCAAAAATACACAACACACAAAATAACCTCATCTTAATATACTATGTGAACCTCCCCGAAAATGACAGAACGCGAAACTTTTGAAAATTAATGTCATCAAAAATTTACACGGCTTCGTTGATCCTAAAATATTATTTATTCAGTTATACGTGTGTCACATTTTGGAACACTGTTTTACCATTAAATTAACAAATATTTAACAAGATAACACTGCTACACAAAAATGCTGTTACAAAGCTTAGTAATTTTACATTTGCATAGATATGTGGGTAGATTACCTAATAATTACTGTGAATTAATTAATAAAAAATAATAATTCA